TGTTAATAGATCTTCCACCAATCCTGATGCCACAATTCTCCTCATAGAGCCCAGCTTCTCGGATAATCTGCTCTGCATACGGAAAATGTGTTGATTGTGCTCTGGTGGGGGTTAATCTTAATGACTGACTTGTTTTGTCTGCCTTCTTATTAAAGTGAACTTGAGTCCACTTGGTGGCGTTTGCATAACAAGTTGTACTGATAAACAAAAGGTCAGTGGTTTGAATCCACCAACTGCTCTTCAGGAGGAAAATGAATCATTCCTCTGGTAAAAATTTAGAGCCTCAGAAACCAGTAGAGAGTTGCTTTGAGCTAGCTTCAACTCTATGACTTTGGGTCTCGTGGTATTTTGCTTACATATTGAATGCATCAAAGATTTTTCTATACTTTTCTTACCAATATTTAGTACTATGTAATACAAAGCATTATTCAGGAAAAAAGGAATAAATGACAAAAAATTGTGGAAAAAATTACTAACTTATTAATGTGACAATGCAGAATAAAAACCACCCGGATGAACAACAACTGCAGGAGAACACGTTACATGCCTCGACAAAGACCTTTATCTCAGAATAGTCTTTGACAGTTTTCCATAAGTTCATTTCATTTTATTCCAATCAAATAAAGATTTTTTTTAAATGATGAGCTATAAAACCCTCTCAAAATATAATTCCATCAAACAATGCACTTGGAATGTAGTGGTTAAGCACCTAGTTCTACTATTTACTTACATTAGAGGACTATCCATTTAATAGCTCAGGACCCATATTGACAATAGATGATAATGGTGGTAGTATGAAGATAACATCTATATATTTAATCTATCTCTATTTCTATATCTATTTTTATCTATATCTGGTGTGTCTATCTACCTATCTATCTCTGGTATATGTGGTGTGTGTATATATATTGTTGTTATGTGCCATCGAGTCACTTGCAACTCATAGCGACCCTAGGTACAACAGCCCTAAACTCTGCTCTTTCCTGTGCCAACCACACTGTCTCCAATACACCCATCCCGATTACCCCAATCACTGAATCAATCCACCTCATAGAGGGCCTTCCTCTCCTGTGCTGTCTCTCCACTCTCCCAAGCATGATGTCCCTCTCCAAGAACTGGTCCCTCCAGATATATATATATATACATATATATATAATACATATATAAGGTGTGTGTGTATATAAATAACATACATATCTGGTAGCCTAGAGTTAAGCAGCTGCACTACCCCAAGGCGTGTGGTTTGAATCTATCAGCTGTTCCAGTCTCGTTGCTAACAGCAACAATTACATACATATATCCCATCACGAGATTGTCAATGAGAATCCAATCACTTAAAAAGACAGCTGGCACAGTCTCTCAATCAACACTGGTTACTTCTTGTGTCTGGTTTGTACTTAAGCTTCATTTTTTTACAGTGAATGTTTTAGTTAAAAAAATGTTCTTGGTTGCAAGTTTAGGCCAACACCAGTGGCCTAAACACACAGGAGTTTGCTTTCTTGCTTACCAGGAGTCTGGAGACAAGTATTGCCTCCAAGGCTCAATAACGTCTGGCTGCCATTCGGTGTTTCTCAAATTCTTTTGGCCTCTGTGCCTCCAATCTCTACCAATGGTCGCAACATGGTTCAGCAGCCTTACAGGAGAGTTTCCAAAGCAGAAAACAAAGGGAAGAGGCAAAAAAGAGATTTTCTTTTCTGAAGGTGGGTTTATGTCTCATTTTCTTGAACATGCTCATGCATGGGCCAAAACTTGGTAAAAAAGATGAGATTCCTCTGACAGGCAGAAACTAGGAAGAATTTATCCTGTGGAAGGTTGGGCATACCACTACCCTCATACAAAAATTATAGTATCTTTATAAGGCAGGCTGTTGGGTGCTTAGTGAGGCAATGAACCAGGTGACTAGTGACATGCTTGGAAAGGTGGTAGGTCAGTGAAAGAGAGGAAGACTCTCAATGAGATGGACTGACACAGTGACTGCAGCATTGGACTCAAGTCAACAGATTGTAAAGAAACACAGGATAGGACAGGGATCAGGCCTGTTGCTCACAGGGTTGCTGTGAGTCCGACTTGACTCAATGGCACCTGCCAACAACATTGTGAATGATAATCAAACATGAAAACGTCTATGTGAGCATTAGAAAGAATCTGAAATTAATTGGAAAGAATTTGAAATTAATTAGAAATAATTTGTAAATTTTGTTATAAGCTTTTACAGACCATATGTACATATGAAGCAGAATGTCAACACAGGGATTAATACAACCCTAGTTTATCCCCTGCTCTCTTTAAATATAATGCACCCCAGCAGTGTTCCAGTTTCTTACATCTCCCTTTACACCAATTGTTTCTAAGGTATCATAGCAGCTGGCAGTTATACAAATATTCATGAGAATACCAGATGAGCAATAGTTCATCTTATCCCCGTATGGCTACTCCAACCCCATGCAGCTAATAGCCTGTTACAGCATGTTCTATATGAATGTGATACAAACCCAAAAGTTCTATGATAGAGAATTGAATACTTGAGATGTTTTAATACAGATATGGAATCAAGTTCCTACAAGAGGGATAGATTTTCTAATGGGAAAGCTTGCACATTAAGGAGCACGGTTTATTCCCAAGAAAAACTTCACAGATGAAGTTTTCTCTAGTTTAAGGTTTTCATCTAGCACTTTGATGGAAGTTGGAATAACCGCACTTTCTTTCCTATGAATATATATTTACCCAACTCTTGCTAATGAGCAGAGTAAATAAATGTCCAGGGAAGAGGTGAGAAATAGAGGGAGCTCGGGTGGTTCAGTACCTGGCGTAGTGCAGCTAATCCAGTGCCTGTGTGTCTCTAGAGGTTAAATGCATCAGCAACTCTGGAGAAGAAAGAGGAACGTTCTCCTCTGGTGCAGTTTACAGCTCTTGGGAAACTCAGTGGCAGATCAGTTACAGTTATGAGTTAGTTCCAGCTGGACTGCTGTGTGAGAGAGACTATCTATAAGAAATCACTCCCATTAGACATACTGATAAGAAAAGGCATAGACTTGCCATCTAGAGGATGTTTTCTTTTTAGGAGATGTTTAATTTTGTTCCAAAGAACCTCTGTTAAAAATTAAATCCAAATTCAGGAATAAATAACCTCCTATCCAAGGCTTGATGAGGAGAGAATAGAAACAAAGCAAAACAAAACAAAGCAAAGCCTCAGGGCCATCAGCGCTGAGAGGTGTGGTGACTGCACTGAGGCTGTGAACTGCGGACTCTCCGCTTTAATTGGCCTCCTGGGGAACGCGGAATGCTGTCTGTTTGTCGCACTTGTAGAGAGCTTGGCACACAACCATTTACAGCTGTTTGGAGCCTTAGCATACAACAGAAAGGGCCTGCTGGGTCTGGCATTTGCTGGCACAGCCTTGGAGTCAATGGAAAAGTCTGGCCTCTTTTGTGGTCCTTACAGTGCAGATATGCAGACAGTAGAGTACACAAGGCACTAAGAATCATCCTTGCATGGCTGGGGTCCTCCTCCGTACAAGCTCCAGGTAGTCAAGACGTTCTGCACTTTTCCAGCATTAGGAAGGCTACATTCTGCAACAAACCCATCTCCAACATTTCCCCTGGATTAGCCACACAACGTGATGCTACACCAAGGTGGTAGACCCGTAACCATGCAGGCTGAATCCAATGCTGACTCTTGTCATGGTTAGTTTGTTTAGTATTTCATTTTCTTCTGTTTAGTTAATTTGAATTAGTTGTCAGATTTTAAAAAAATCAGTACATTTCATATTTTTTATACAATAAATGATTGGGTTTTTTTGAAAATCAGATCTGGCAACATTAGGTCTGAGGTCCTTGTTGGCAACAGAGAACTTCAGCAGGGTGGCAGCCGCCCTCTTTGGAGTAGACACAGGGTCTCAAGTGTGTGACAGTTCTCGGGAAGGCTTCCTGCCTTTATACCCTGCCTGGCTCTATTAGACATTTGAATGCAGGTTAAGAATTTGCCTACTGACCAAAAGATCATTGGTTCTATCCCAGTGTCTCACTCCACAGGATAATGAGGAAGTCAGTTTTCATAGATTTCCAACCTTGGAAATAAATCCTATGGAGAAGTTCTACTCTGTCCTAGATGGTTTCTATGAGTCAAAATTCAACTAATGGCAGCACATTATGGTATAAGTGGAGATTTAGACTAGAGATTTAAAACACAAAGAAGAATAAAGAAAAAGATCATGTTCAACTTAACCTTTAAGCTTGCTATATTTCCTTTATATTTTCCTATATTATATATTTTTCTCTGTTTGCCTCAGAAGGTTTTTCCTGATAAAGATGTCAGATATTAAACACAAATTCAAGATCTCTGTTTATCCCTCCCAAATCTTATTCTTTTTCTTGTCTATAGAGGTAACCACAATTCTGCCCTTGGTCTTTATCAATCATGAGTATCATGTTATACTTTTGCAACATAACTATTCATCATTGCATTCTTTTCCAAATTAAATATGTATGTATATATCTTTTTTCCCTTTTTTTAAAAACTGTAACTTATGCAGCTGCTACCCTGAAGAAACCAAATTCAAGATGGAAAATGGCTGCAAATATCATGATTTAGGCATTTCTTCACTTGTTTCCAAAAGTGAGTGGGCCTTATGTGTGTATATATATTGTTTCTATTAATATAAATGATAAGTTAGATAGCTATAGATAGATATGCCTGTATCTTCCCTTATTCACTCTTAATTTACATTTTGGAGATTTATTCAGGTTAAAATAAGCAGCTAGAATGAATTTAAATTGTATTTTGTAATAAATGTTCTATTTATCCTTTCTCAGCTGAAAATTTGTAGCATTAAACTAATGCTTCTTTGACCATCTTTGAGAACACTTTCTTGGACACATGCACAAAAGACTCTGTAGGACACAGTAAACAAATTCTGATTGAAGTACACAGATCTGAATTTTCTGACACTGCAAAATTTTTCTCCAGTATTATTTTGTGCCCCACATTTCTCCTCATAGATCCCAGCCTCCCGGATAA